TTTCTGCATGGAGGGAATGGCACTACCTACTTGATTAAGGCCAAATTAATATAACAGTTACCTCTCGTGTGCAGGAGAGTCACTGTGTAATTCAGGAAGGCCAAGTCAATGCAGTACATTTGCTACAGAAGGAGTGCCATTACTAAAACTCAGGCTAAGCCAGTATAATTTTCTTTCCATGTTGAGACCCAATCAACCCATGAACTGTTGAATCACATAAGCAATTGGGATGCATGAAAGCAAGAAGTGACACATTTGTGAGGTGGGGCGCAGAAACNCAGGTGTTTTCAGTCTCAAAGCTGTTATCACAGGTTCATTGACTTATCATGGATTGCTTGATAGTTCAGTTGGTTTGTGAGGTCTTAGGTTGGGATGCATGAAAGCAAGAAGTGACACATTTGTGAGGTGGGGCGCAGAAACTTCCTTTTTTTGAAGGCGAATAAAAGAAAAATTATTGCTGATAGACAAAATTTATGTTTGGCTAATGAAAGAACATACTTTAAAATTTTAAACAAAATATCTTGAAGGTGGTGGCCACCGTTCTCTATGCACTGATGCAACCGTTTTCTGAAGCTCCCCTCTGCACGTTCCAACATGTGCACTGGAATTTGGGCTACTATCTGCCAAATAACATTCTTCAGCTGAAGCAGGTTTGTGGGGCGATGTTTAGAAACCTCTGCCTTGAGGTATCCCCATAAAAAAAATCACAGGGCATTAGATCAGGTGAGTGCGCTGCCCACGGGATGTCACCTCGAAGTGAGATGAGCCGCCCGGGGAACTTTGCCCTCAAAACTGTCATCGAACCTCGGGCTGTGTGGGCCATGGCACCATCCTGCTGGAACCAGACATTTCCTAGATGCATTTCTTCAAGAGCTGGTTTGAAAAAGATCTCAAAATCGACTGTCGAACTGCCTCCACATTTTCTGGCATCGTAACGGCCCGTTGTCGTCCTGATGATTTTTTCCACCACTCCCAGTTGTCTTAAAGTTCTCTACCCACAAAACAATCGATTTCCAATTGGGAACCGGACCTCTGGGCTTAATTCCGAAGTGAGTATGGAACGCATGCTGCACTGCCATGTAGGAATGGTTGTTCGAAAAATAGGCTTCGACAGCAAACGCACGCTGCTCACTTGTCCACCTCATGTTTCCTACTGAGGGGTATTAGACAAACTCCCACGACTGCTGCGTTCGCCGAGCCTATCCCCATTTTTCTGCGACCTCCCCTCCCTTCACAAAAAGGAAGTTTCTGTTGCCCACCCTGTACTTCTCATAGGCAAGTTGCACCAGCTATAAAGACTGGGAGCAGTACAAGACCCCTCCTTAACTTCCACCTGAGAAACACTTCACTGAAAGTTACATAGTGACTTTAATGAGATACTTCAATTTCTTACAATGAATTATCACTTTTGGTTGTATGGACTCAGTGATTTTTCCTTAACAGATTGGTTCAGTTGGCACTGATAGCTTATGAACCTGCTATGGCTTGCTTCCTGTAGACCCTTCTGTTATTAAGGCGTACATGTTCGATACATGGGCGAGATTATTTAACTCTTCAACATGGACATTTAAATAGTGCACCCAATGGTGTCCTGTGGTAGAATTTTTTTTTATATGTCCCCATGATGTTTGCATTGAAATGTTTATACTTTCATAATTAATTATGTATGTGAACATCAAGGAATGCAGCCTGTTGTGTTATCCTACATAACTTCTTCATTGTGTTTCCATCTCGACACAACTGCTACCAGGATCTCATTCACATTTCACTGCATATAATGAGTTTACCAATAAACACACATTATACACAGTGAAATGTGAATGAGATTCTGGTGGTTGTGTTGAGACAGAAACAGAATGAAGAAGTTATATGTATGTGAGATACTTTTATATGTATGGGGTGGGAATTCACTCTAGGTAATGACATTTATTGAGTATCGTTTAAGGATGGCCAAGTACCAAGTGAGGGACAGCAGGTATGCATTTCTCTACAAAACACTGTATCAGGAGTCTGAATTCCAGAGAGTCTGTTCCCATATTATTTGGCATGGAATGGTATATTGTCTTCAGAAGAGAAAATGTTGGATAGAATGGTACAGTGAACAACACTGAAAAGTCTTTGATTGCTTCCTTCAAAGTTGCAGAAGTAAGAGCACAAAATTGTAAACCATGCTTTACTGAAGAATTGAACTTACCAGTTTGTAAAAAAATTTTCAAGGTGATATTTGGTCCTGCAGTTATGGAAGAAATTATGAAGGAACCCTTATCAAAGAACATGGTCGATAGAAGAATCATGAAAATGTCTGAAGACATTACACATAATGAAAGGTTGCACACTGGTGAAAAATTCAGTTTGCAATTAGATGGAACTGTATATGTGAGGAATATCCCAGCTAATTTCCTTTGCAAGATCTGTGGCTGAGACTCAGATCATTCAGCTACTTTCTTTTTTTGCTTGGAAATGGAAACAACAAATGTCAGTGATATTTTTTACACAGTCAGTTCTTATTTTCAAGGCAGTAATGTATACTGGAATGCTGCAGTGGTGATGACCAGGCAATTCAGAGGATTATTAGCCTTCTCAAAAAAGATAATCCTTTTTTAATAACTATTCATTGCTTTTTACATCAGGAAATTGTTCTTACTAGAATCATTAGCAGGATAAACTATATCAAATCATGACCAGTGAAAAACAGATTATTCAAGAAGTTGTGCAGTGAAATGGGTGCAGACCACAATATGTTGTTACTTCATACCGCAATATGATGGTTGTCCTGATGCAAAATTTTGAATTGAGTCCTGGAGCTGCAGGAAGAAATGCAGTTATTGTAAAGGGAGAGAATCCTGAATTCTCAGCAGTGTTCAGTGACACAATGTGGTGTGCATAATTAGCATATCTAGCAGACATCCTCCTGAAATTCCAGCATTCAAGGTGAAAAAGAGAATTTAATCTCAGCAAGTGACAAAATGAGTGTGTTCTCAAGGTAATTGTCTGCATGGAGATCACTGTCAGAAAATAGGGATTTGTTGAGTACCCCCTTGTTAGAAGATGCAAGTCAGCTAAAACCTAAAGAGGACAAACATTTGCAAAAACTGGCTGGAAAACATTTACCAGATTTTCAAACAGCTTTGGTAATTACTTTCCATCTATCTCAACTATCAATAAAATGGGTAATGTCACCATACAGTGCCTTGCTGTGAAAGGAGTACCAATAACGCAGCAGGTCTTACTTCCACGGAAGAAGACCAATTGGTTTAAGTATCTGCAGGCACAATGTTAAAAAAGTAACCTTCCTTTGGATTAATTTTGGATTTACATAAGAAATGAGTATCCAGTGATTGCTAATAAGGCTTTGGATGTTTTACTACCTTTTGCAATGTAATATTTGTGTGAGAGTGCATTTTATAACTTAAATACATATGTGGAGAGTGAACTACATGTGTTTGTCAAGCACATGTCTCACTGACCTGACAAGAGTTTTAAATGGTAGTGTACATTTATTTATTTGGGGTCATTCATAATTGAGATCACATGGTTTAGGTCACTTTCTGACTTTTTCCAAGCTTGTCATGTTTTGACACACACTCTTGTCCCATGCTTTTGGATGTGGAACTCAACTGTGACTGACTGCCTAAAAAATTATCTTTAGTATGCCACGACCAAGTACACCTATCTCTGGGTGTTCTGTGGCTTGAAGAAGGTTGGGAATCACTGCAGTTAGAAAGTCCCTTCTGTCAATTGCGAGTCACTCTTTGCTCTACTCTTCTTTTATCTGCTGGCCAGCATACAATTTCTGAGCATAATTCTGGGCTACAGAGTCCTCCTTTCTTGATTGGGGGATATCTCATGTGGAGTGGGGGATTAGGTATTATAAAATAGTGGCAATTCCTACTTTACTTTATGGAAGTGAAATTTTGGTTTTAACATAAGAAGGATACAATCTTCTGACAGTATAAGTTTTTAAGATATGTCAAAGGATGTACTCATTTGGACAGGATGAAAAAATGGTGATACTAGAGAAGACTTATTTTCTGGCAGGTAATTTTCTGGAATTTGAAAGTGTACTGCTGAAGTTTATAGGTCACATAAAGCTGCAAAAAGGAAACAAGGATTTGTATATATCACACAAAATTACCCAATGAACTAACTGACAGTCTTCTTTCTTGGATAACAAGGCCAAGGAAAGGTCACTCAACAATTCTGGAGTAACACATTGTGGTTTAATGCATAATGGGCAGATCTATTTGAGCCAGCCAGGTACTCTCTCATCAGATGCATTTTTATGCCAGAAGGATTATTGAAATCTTTTCTGTATATATATCACCCACAAGGAGGATGTAAATGTACCAAAGCTGTAACAGGCTGATTCATTGGCAGATAGAAGAGAATGTAAATCACTGATGCCAGGTGACATTTCACACCTATAAAGCACATTTTCATACGTCATGAACTATTGTATATAGTTATTATGCAAAACTTTGAGGTTTTGTCTGTCTATTAGTTCGAGCAGATCAGTACCATTGGAAACAGACCACTAATTTGTGTAGTTGTTTATTTGTATTTTTTTCTTCCATGTTCTGTGCACAGATGAAGGAATTTGAAGGAAAGCATTAGAATTAGCAAATGTATGCACTGCATGACAGTATTCTGTCCCCTTTTGAAATCTGTATGACGTGTGGAAAACTACTGGTCATAATATGTGTGTAATTATTCTCTACACATTTTGCTTGGAACATCATTCTGATAAATATTTAACGAGCTAGGCTCACGTTGCATGCAAGAATACATGTATGCCTTCATTTAAATGGTCTGCTATTTCTGATAGATTTTAGCCAAAATTAGGTTGTGTTCATATATTTTAGTAAAATTCCCTAATATAAACTTTCATGAAAATCCATTAAGCAGTTCTCAAGTTTGTTACATGCAGATAGACTGCCATGGTAAAACTAACAGGTACATTTTTGCAACTTTGGTTGCCAAAAATTGAATTCAACTCAGAGTAATAGAACAGAAACTTTTATTTTGGTCAAGTTGCTCTGTTTATGATAAGTATTACTTGGTTAACCATTTGTCACTGATATGATCATCATACAGTTGTAAACAATACATATAAAAATATATAAAAATATGTATTATAAACTATACATCATATATTTCCACTTCTCCATTATCCAAATATGGATGTACAGGGATGTCGTCTGATGACAAAAAGTGAATTTACTTTACCATGGGTAACTGAATTTGAAAAGTATGTGCACTCTTGGTGAGCACATCATGCTAGATCAGTTATTGACAGCATGGTACAATTACATGTCATCACAGAACATCCCAGTATGAGTATTATATGAAGAAAACTAGTTCTTGTTTTAATAGACTTATTTGTCTTCATACAAACAAATTCTGAAATAGAATCAAGACATACTTTATCCCATGAACATGCCCATGTTTCACCACCAAATGTTTATATTGTAGTTTTAAACAACATTTTCAGAAGTATACAATACCTTTTCTCCCAGTAATATCTATAGAATTGTCTATAGATAGTGAAGATATATTTAATCTCTTCCAACGTGATGTGTGTCTGTAGGCTGGTCTATACGGTATATGTATTCACCCACGGCAAAGTATCCCAGATATTCAACATTATCAGGCTCAGTATCAATATGGTAATGTCCACCTTCAGCATGACCGAAACTGTGGAAGTGCTGAAGCCTCAGGTCTAAACCCTGCAAGAATAAACACGAGATTATGAAGAAATAAAACTTTTATTGCCAACAAAAAATCTCAGAATTAAGATTTTTGAAGCTGAAGGAGTCAGCTGATTTTCTTACCCTAGTGCAACTCTTACTGTTTTTTACCCTTTGCTACCCCTACTCTCACCCTTCTACATTTTTGACAACATGCTTTTATCTCAGATATGTGTCCATCCATCTACAAACATTGGAGCTGGTATACAGATATTTTACTTGAGGCATAAGAACATCAGTTTTTGAATCTTAAGTGAGGTTACTTCATGGGAGCCAGCAGCTCCTGGTGAAATGTGCTCTCAGAGGCTACAGTTGATTATGGTAGACGAGCTAGCCTGGAATGGTCCCTTAGAGAATACTGTACACAAGTCTAAAAATTATTTTTCATTATATGAAAGTGTTACTCCATCCCATTCTCTCACGCCAGGTACAGAATGCTAAGAGGAGTAAGTTACCAGTCCTCAGTAGGCAGTATGGTGACTGTTATTACCAGCTGTAACTGTCATTCCAACGCCAAATACAATATACATTTCTCAGTTTCTAAAAATACAGTGTGCTTTAGCTCCAACAGTCCCTAAAGATACACTGCTCCTGACATTAAATAACTTAAACTAAAGGAGGTAAAATTTTATATTAGTAAATTGTGGACTGCTGTGATGGTTGCTAAGTCACTGTCCTGAGTTTCCATATCAGAAGATCCATCAAACCCTACATAACTCAGAAAAAATATCTTGGTCTTCTGTAATGTTCCTGCATGAGACCATGTTTGTTACTGACAAAATGTATGAATGAAAAAGCACAGAGCTGAATCAGTGACAGCACTGTCTTGGATAATTATTTTGTATGGGAGCATGATATCAGAAAGGATTTGTATTTCTTTGTGCAGAGACATAAGCATCCTGTCCCAACCTGCTTATAACCTTGAGCTAGCAAGTGAGTCAAATCAGCATCCACATGGGCCTAGACAATACATTATGATTAATCTGAACTGTGTGCTTATCACTAGTAAATAAAATGGAAATCATGGCCGTTTACGTGACTGAAAATGGCAACTGCAACAAAATCACCAAGTGCTAAAACTGGTAATTTTTATATCAACTTACAGGGTCAGCTGATACTAATGTTCCAACAGCAATTAGAGGCGCAGACATGTTGTAAAAATGTAGCCACTTTTCCACTTCTTCATCAGTATTAATGGGCTCTGTTGAAAATTCTGGCATTATGTGTTGCTTGGCTTTCCCCTCTTTCAGAAGGAATGTTCCTCCCAAACCTGAGAAGGATCATTTATTAAATGCAACAGTTGGCACTGCTGATTCTTTAATGGTTTCTAATAACATTCACTACCGTACATATATGTTGCACATTGTACATTGTCTTAAATTATAGTTAATATGCACAATATTATGGAATTCATACTGTTGTATTTTGGATCGTAACACCATGCAGTCTTGCTGGCAGTAATGAGATTTCATAGGAACATGCTGGCTCCATCTTCAGAGCTCAAGTGTGTAAGTTGAGGAATTCCCTTGGTTATTTAGGCAGGTTGCAAGGAATGTGGTTACTGAGACCCATCTGACAGGGTATGGAAGAGGAATCTGATCCAGGCCAATGAGAAAATTACCATTTTAAAGGACACAGTCAATTTCTTGTCATAGGTGGGAATTGGATGAAGGAACAGCTCTTTTTAGAGACACAACATTGCTTTTAGGAGGACAGTTGGAATTGTGAAAAAGAGGCAAACCACAGTTTGAACAAACGGGTGTCATCTGTTCATGCAACATATGTCAGGTGTGTGACATAAGTGTGACCACTTTCCTCCAGATGGAACAGAAGAAACACTACCAGTTCTGCATGATATCAGAGTGTGAAAAAAAGCGGCATGAACATTGTCTAGATGTCGTTCAGCTAATATCCATGCAAAATCGCTTTCTTTGCGGCTGTATCAGCAGCTCTGGTGCTGGGTAGGCCAGTTTGGCCAGCAAGAGAATCAATTTTGCTTCTTAATGGAGGAATGCAGGTGGTACACATGGCATAGTATCTCAGTAATGGTTGAATGGTCAGGCCTGCATCCATGGAGACTGCATGTTGCTTAGATAGTTTGTGAGGTGACACTGCCAAGGTTCCCATCAAATGCTCGGAAGAGCATGGAATATGAAAGAGAGATTGGTCATATAGATGATGTTATAACTGAAGACATTAGAAGAAAGTGTCTTCACAAGCTGTAAAACCTTGAAAAACAACCCAGCAACATTGTACCATGTCCATTAAAAGCCAGAACTGCAGAGCCAGAGACAGCTGTTGCTAGGGAATGGCTTTGTAAACATGCTTCCACAGCAACCAAATCATGGGACCACTGCAACAGACAGGAACTGCTGGAACCAGTTGTTCTTCCAGAACACTGCAATCAGAGCCTGAATCACAACTAAATGTATGGTGGACTACAATGCCATACAAAAATTCCTCACAGAAAAAGCTCCACTTCTTTACATTTTACACATAGGTGGATAAACCTATTAAAGCTGTTATCAGGTATTTGCTTGACAATATTTCTGCAGAGGACACCCATGTGTCCTTCCAGGAGATAGACTATGACATCACCAGTGTAAAACAGATGACTGCCAAACGTCCCATTCCAGAAGGAGGATTTGCATATACCTCCATCCCCTTCTTCATAGTTATGCTACCAAGGAATCAATAAGCTCCAGAAATCTTCAAATTGACAACACTCTGTAACATAATTATAAAGGTCGATGCTTATGGATCCAAAAATCGGCTTTCAAAGTGCTATAATTTTCAGCGTTATGGTTTCATCTGAGTGCACTGCAGGCAGCCCCCTTGCTGCCTGTGGTTTGGGGGTGGTCATCACCATCACAAGTGCCCAGAGAAACAGAAATCAGAGTGTCCCAACCTGCTGCAATTGTGACCTGCAAGATGGAATGGCTGCACCCAGCGAATTACAAAGGCTTAAATCATGCAAAACAGGAGTACAGCACAGAAGGAACATGTTGGCGACAATACCAGGGTCAGCAGGAAGGATTTGCTTCTCAAAATACAAAACACCTGATCAATCATTTGCCGCCACTCTTTGAGGCTCAGATCAGCATCATCCACAGCAACCATCACAACACAAACAGCAATAGTCTTTGGGAAAAAATATGCATCAAAAGACCAATCAAATCTCAGGTCAGGGAAATATGCAAGTCAGTTTGACTTTCAAACAGATCACAACACAACACTTCAATGCATGAGGCTGGCAGATCACGTCACCCTAAATTTCAACAATAATGTGTCAACTGCTGCTGTCTTCTTTAGATACTGAGAAAGCCTTCGACTCAACATGGCACTCTGACCTGCTATATAACTTCTCAGAATTAGAATTTTTGGCAAGTTTTATTAAGCTGATTGCTTCTTTTCTCATTGACAGGAAATTTAAAGTCTTGGTGGAAAGCCAAGAAAAATAACAGGAGGGATATATCAAGGTTCTGTATTTGCCCCAGTATTGTACAGTCTGCACATAAATGATGTCGCGCGGCACCTGGAATCTATTTTGCTCTGTTTGTGGATGATGCTTGTATTTACATGACAGAAAAAAATGAACGTTGTCCAGTCTCTAAAAACTGCAATGTGGTCTCACTGCAGTGAAGTCATAGTACTGGAACATAAAGATCAATGAAGGGAAAACTCAGGCGATCTATTTCTTCAGAAGACTTGGAGTCCCAGATGACGTACTGCAACTAAATGGATGAGACATTCCCTTTGTAAATAATGTAATGTATCTGGGTGTCACCTTTGACAGGAGGATGACATGGAGACAACCATATTGAAAGGACAACAACCAAGGCCTTGCACACATACATAAGGACCTACTCTCTATTCAAAAGTGGGCGTTTAAGTACATATATTAAACTTACACTTTACAAAGCTCTGATTAGGTCAGCTGTAACTTATGCCTGTCCCACCTGGGAGTTTGTGGTGGACACTCATGTCTTGAAATTGCAGCACCTGCAGAACAGAGTACTCCGCGCTACTGGAAATCTTAACAGTTGCACATCAGTCTTCAAATTGCACGTGGCTTCCAAAATCCTTGTATGTAAGACTATATAACTTAATGTGCAGGACACAGGCAGAAGTAATCCTAAAATATGTGAAACCATATGTATATGGTATTGGATAAGGAGAAGCCAGGCACAGGAAGTATAAGCGGCTTAAACTTGGTGGTTGTCAGGCTTATGACCATTCAGCTGACTAACTGCAGTTTCAGAGCAGTTATATAAGGTAAGGCATAACCTGCTGCACAAGCCTGCATTGACAGGAAACCCATGTATATCTTGCATATATATATATTACTTAGTGTAATGCAGTGACAAAGGTTGCACAGAGTCCATAGTGACCTGGACGCCATGACAGCATGGACATACCCATGCTGAAACTACGGTGCAATAAACATAGCACCTACATGGAAAGATTCACCCCTGCCTTCGTTGAAGAGGAGGTCCCATTTCAAAATATGTACATATCTAGAAGAGAATAAAAATCTTGGTTTCATATCTCGAGGAGACTGAAGCCAGGAATGGCTGTACTGGTGAAGGCCAGCGACAATTGAACAGACTGACCGACTGTTCAGTTAGTTTTAAGTCAGAAGTGAGCACTAGCCTGCAATAGTGACTGGTAGCCAGATTAAGCTAGGAGTCAATGGACAGGAGTTGCGGCCATGAGATGGTAGCTGGTAAGGACATGAACATGGAAGCTGACGAATCTACAGTGTTAGGAGCCATTACCAAGCAATGACTGGTGAAGACACAGATGACTGAGATGGCGTGATGCATGCTGTAGTAAATTGCAGAGTGCGTGAATTTGCCATAGCCCTATAATTAATTGTAGTTAGAATTTATAAGAGTTCAGTAAATCCAGTTACCAATCCAAATCCCATGTCTAGTCACTAGATATGTGCAGTCTGGATAGACAGATAGGAGTTTCAAAAGTACCAGTGATTGGCCAGGACAGACAGTTCACCTTCCATGAAGTGGATGGTCTGAAGGTCACAGGGTGAACATATGAGTATGACACAAAAGGGTGGAATATGAAACAGTCTGTTGGGAATAATATGTGGTCAATAATTCTCTTCAGGCTCTAATAACATTTAAATATCTGAGGGCCACAGTAACAAATGAGAACTATATCTGTATAGAAATCAAGAGGAAATTGAATTCACAGAGTGCTTGGTACCATACATTAAAGACCTTTTGTCTTTGCATCTCCTGAAAACATACAGATTAAACTATTAAAAACTACAATTTCCCCAGTTTTGTATGGGTCTCTCACCTTGAGGAAAGTACACAGACATAGGGTCTTTGAGAACAAGTTCTTGAGGAGAATGTTTGGTCCTAGGGGAGAAGAAATGACAGAATTATGAAGAATAGAAGATAGTAAGGAGTTCCGTAATTTATACTGTGCACCAAATGTTACTAGAGTGAGCAAATCAAGGAAGAATAGTAAGAACATGCAATGCAGAATAGAAGACGAAAACTGAATACAAAATTTTTGTCAGAAAAAAGGCGTGAAGAAACCATTCAAATGACTAGTCGAAGGGCTATTGGCTTCTTGGGAAGAACACCGTTTGAAGGAGTTAGTGGTTATCACAAAAGTTCAGTATTCGAATGAAGTGAAAATATCTGTGAGCGAGATGACAACCAATAACCTGNTGAAAACTGAATACAAAATTTTTGTCAGAAAAAAAGGCGTGAAGAAACCATTCAAATGACTAGTCGAATGGCTATTGGCTTCTTGGGAAGAACACTGTTTCAAGGAGTTAGTGGTTATCACAAAAGTTCAGTATTTGAATGAAGTGAAAATATCTGTGAGCGAGATGACAACCAATAACCTGAAGAAGGAAATGAAAGCATTTCCTTAAATGCTGGTACACTGAACATACTTAAGATAATGAAACATGTTTATCTCAATTGTGATAAAACTGGCAGTGTTTTACAGTAATGGAAACTTCTGGCTATAGCACCACTTATCTGGCTCTACCAGTTCTGACAGTATTTGTATCTTATCTTATATTCACTGGGAGTACCAAGTGAGCAGATTCCATTAGGGTGCCAGTGAGTGCTACAACTCACTACATTAAATTGGAAGTCCATGATTTATTCTGACCGTCTTACAGTGCATACATTTATTCACCTTACTCTTCTCTCTTGCACTACATGTTTCAGCACTAAAGTGCTATCTTCAGGTGCTTTTCGATGTACGTCGAACTACTGCATTGCATGCCCTGTTGTCTTTATACTAAAATAACTAAAATATATATTCGTCATATATATTGCTAAATTTTAAATATTAAAAATGTTAAAACTGTTCAGGATTTGTCATCCTTATGTCGTATTTCAGTACGCGAGTCACACCTATCTTCTTCTGTCGGAGTATAACACACGCAGTCACAGGAGTAAGACACAACACAAAGCACAATACACATGAACGTAGGAATAATACTAAGAATTTTGTTAAAATGAGTTAAAACTTATTTCTTCTTCAATCAATCCTCCATAGTTGTGGCATTCTGTGGTTTCTTGAGCGGTTTGTGGAGTATTCTTATAATGCACAGTGGTTGTGTTGTTTGAGATCTGTATTCTGTATGATATGGTGTTGTGTGATTTCTATTGATGGTTATCACCCACAGAATTCCAGAAGTCATGGAATAATGGAAATGTGGAGTATGAATTGAAAGAACAAGTTTTGACCAGTTTTAACAAAATTCAACCATATTATTTTTTTTTTGCTAGTTGGGTGGGACCAAGTCCCTTGTATGCGGCCACTTCTGACCTACTGTACCAGCCCCAGATGATAGGTGAGGGTGATTGTGGAGTAATTGGTGGAATGAAGATTGGCAGGGGAAACCGAAGTACTTGGAGAAAACCTGCCCCAGCACCACTTTGTCCACCACAAATCCCACTTGACCAGACCCGGGATCGAACATGGGCTGCCGCGATGGGAAGCCAGCGACTAACCGCTCGAGCTACGGCATGGCCTAAATTCAACCATAACTGGAACTAGCTGTAATGAAGTTTTAGAACAACGAACTAGGAAAAACAATACAGTGCAGCAATTATGTAAAAGTATCTACCTGATGATGACAGCATAACGCCAAAACGTGTTGTAGAAGTAACATTTATTAAAAATGTAACAATGTGGCACACCAACAGTTTAAAAACATAAAAAGTTGCACCTTCAGGACTGCCCTTGCAAATTAAAATTATGTAAAATTATGCAATTATGTAAAAGTATCTACCTGATGATGACAGCATAACGCCAAAACATGTTGTAGAAGTAACATTTATTAAAAATGTAACAATGTGGCACACCAACAGTTTAAAAACATAAAAAGTTGCACCTTCAGGACTGCCCTTGCAAATTAAAATTATGTAAAATTATGCAATTATGTAAAAGTATCTACCTGATGATGACAGCATAACGCCAAAACATGTTGTAGAAGTAACATTTATTAAAAATGTAACAATGTGGCACACCAACAGTTTAAAAACATAAAAAGTTGCACCTTCAGGACTGCCCTTGCAAATTAAAATGTTCTACTGGATTCGGCATAGCAGAGAGTTAATAAATTTGCAGGACTGATGTAGTGAAATTCTTACCAACAGCCTTCTCCTTATATTGGACTTGAAGAGATTTTCTGATACTGGCAATAAAGTCGTCCTTTCCAATTCTTTTCTTACAGCTAATTCGGAGAACCTGAAAGAATACAGTGGAACATTACAGCAGGTCTAATAAGTATTTATAAAGGATGAAGTGCATTCTATGGGTCAAAGGATTGAACCAGGTTGACTTCAATATCAGTCTGGTAGCAGTAGTAGTGATGTTCATAGTAGCTGTTCCTGTAATATATCTTGAGAATGGCCAGTCCTACTCCAGAATCATCAATAGTATCAATGTCACCTAAGAAAAATATTGTGACAAGATGACTGAAAAGTCGTCTGCTGCTAGGCAACGGCTCGATAACTTACAAGTCACACAACAATAGAGGGGCTGTTGGAAGCAGTATCTTCTATTCAGTACATCCTGAGGCTATATTGCGAGTTAATGTAAGATAAGCACAAAAATAACATGCAAGTATATAGTTTTGTACATAATAATATTAACAGTTTTTGATAATGAAAAAATATTCTGAACTGAATTCAGTCTCTTGATTTCTTCATTTAAGGAAGTTATGTTATAATTCTGCCTGCTTTCTGGTATGAACACACACTTAACTTTCTCTATGTTCACTTCTAGACAAACCTTATCATTAGTATCTATTATCGACTTCTGTGTTCTCATGATAATTATGTTTTACCCAATCACATCAACAGCACAGACCAGATGCTGATGTGTTGAATTCAAATTTCAGCCCTTCGCTTCTACTGTCATCTTCTAATGCAAAGTTAACAAGCAAAGGTATTAAAGCATCTCCTTGTTTTGAACCATGCTAAATAAGAAACATATAAGGCTTTCCTATGTGGATTTCATTATAGGCTTCATTTAAGCACATTTTAATTAGCATACTTAGATCTGTAAGTAAAATGAAAGAGCACATCAACTACTTACACATTTCAAAAAAGTTTACAATTCTGTCAGGAAGGAAGTACTGAAGAGCAGTTCCTCAAAAATGCTGTTGTCTGCATCACCACTTTTATCTGCAGTTGGTGTATCATCATTCAGAACAGCATCGTACCAGAAAGCCAGTATTATACGTGATATTCAGTTACTAAGAAACTCTACCCTCTTAACTGAAGATATGGTCCACTTGTGCACAAGAAATCTTGTCCCTACCTGATGACTCTCATAGGAAAATATATAATCATTTGCTGATTCAGGGCCATCCTTGTCCCATCTTACCTGTACTCCCACTAATTCTAATTTATATTTTTCTAGTTCTCTTGCTGCTATTATCAGTGAACCTGACCTACTGAGACACCTTCCACTCCAAGTTCCAGATCATATGTCTATTTTCCATTGCTCAGGTGGCTTCGAAGGATCTGTTAAGGCCTGAAGCCAGGTATAACGTTTTGTAACATGCTGGATTGTTATGGTGAGAAGCTATTAGAGCCCACCAAGGTTCCTTAGACAAAGGATTATTTCATGTCAGCTGTCAGGGGCTGCTAATTCAACATACTGTCAGGTGTTAGTCACTAGACAAAGGGTTCAGATTGGTAACTGGATTTATGGAACACTTATAACTCGCAGCTACAAATAATTATAATGCTATCACTAATTTACACACTTAACAACCACAAATCACTGAAAACACTAGGTTTTCTCAGTCTGCTATATCTTTACTTGTTGTCACTTAGCAGCAGCTCCCAACAGTGTACTCTCTTGACTTTCAAACAGTTATCATGGCATCACCAGCCATCACTGATTAACTATTTGGCCTGTCCAGTTGTTCTCATTACATGACCTCATCATGGACCATATATGTATACTTGAATAAGACACCTTCTCCAGCAGTTACTCTATCGCTGCATGTATATCTGTTTCCACAGTACATATTTACTGAGTCATTACATAGCAGTGGATGACTTCTCTTGTTGAACTATTCCATCATCATGTCACAGTACTTACAGCTACCATCCATTTAACATGGAATGAAAGAAACATTCAGTACTAATTAATATCAAACTGCAAAGTTTTTAAGACACAAAAAAGTAAAATACTACTTACTTTTCCCGGTTTTCCTTCACTACAGAAGATATTAGCAAGCAAGGCACAACGTGTTTCAGTATCAGGAAGACGTTCCAATATACAGCTGCCATCTTTGGTGTCCACTTTTGATATTCTTGTATGATTATTAACTTTTCCTCCATTTACTTCAAGATTGATTATCATCTAATAAGAAAATGGAGAAGGGACAAGAAAATATTGTCTTAGTCAACAAAACTGTTACCTGAATTTGTATTCTATCTAAAATGGAACACAATACAGAATACTTCTCTTCATATAATGCAATTCCAGACAGTACTACATTTTCAGAATTACCTCACAGTTTACTCCAGCATATGGCCATGGTCCAGCACCTGCTCCTATTAGGAAGCTTGGTTCAACATCTGTAAGCTTCCCAATGTATGACATGTTATAGAGTTTTTCCCTCCGAACCAGGGGAAGCAAGTAGGGTGGTCCACCAATTTCCACCAACCTTGGTTTACCTCCCAAACCTATTTGTAACAGCAATGAAGAGGAAGATGAAGAAGAAGATGATGATGATGATAGGCCTACAGACTAGGTCTCCTGACTGAAGGGTTTTATGGTTTTCCTCAGTACCTCCTGATAAATGTTGGAACAGTAGCTGAAGTTAGGCCACACCCATTTCCATCTACACTTATGAGTATTCCAGTTCATTCTGCCATTTTGTACTGCATTCTCCAAGCTATTAAGTGTGCCATTAAAATAAAATAGATAACTACAATAATGATCTGTTTCCTGATATGTGGATTACCATAGAAGCCTTTGTGCATAAGGGAACAGCTGTACATAGCGCTCTTTTCTTATAAAAACAAGTTTGACACTACTGTTAGGCTCAGTTTTAGCATCAAGGTTGACACATATACCGTCCTGATGCGCTACTTTTGACTTACAAATAAAACTAAATAGTATGCATTCCAGTGAATACCAAATGAAGAAAAGCACCAGCTTTCCTCTATTTTTGACAAAGATGTGAATACTTGTATGGAAAGCCTGTGTATAACTAAAACAAATTAGGAAATGTGCACATGATAATAAATTTGGTGAATTTGCTAAATTCTGTTTGACTATCTAAAAAACTGTTAGACTTGTGGAAAAAGTGTATTTGGTGTAAAATTTGTGTTTCATTTTGATCTACAGCTTTTGTTCCTAATATTTATTGCTGAGATGAACATTTTATACTTCAGTAAAGCTCACTGTATTAGTAGTTAATATAATGATTCTATCTGTAACTCAGCCTATACAGCAACTAGTAATTAGTTGATAGTGAATAAAGTGGAAAGGCTGAGGAAAGAAGCAGTCATGGGCTAGTTTTTATGGAGACTGAGGAAGACCATGAAAAACTTCAGTCAGGACAGCCAGTGCCCTAGCAGATATTCAAAGCAGAATAAAAATCAGAAGCATTGCCACTTGGGCCAACCTGCTCACTGTTAAACTTAAGACATGTACAGAAACACATATAGATTTTCATGTACAGTATTTGTTAGCAGTGCTCGATTTTAACCCAAATTTGAATAGGTCAGAAACTTTTACTTTGTCTTAGTATAAATTTCATGGAAAGCTGTTCAGCTGTTCTTGAGGTGTTTCGTGCATACAGATGGATAGATGTGACTCTAAAACAGCCTGGAAAGATGCAAATGTGCCTAGAAATAAAAATAGTAATAATCTGTATAGCATTAAAAATCATTTGTCCTGACTTTCTCTCAGTGTCAGCAAGGAAGGAATTCTGTTACATAGACACAAACAGTGTGACAAACTGATATGATATGGATGCTGTCTTACAGCCAAAACAGAATACATTTTCCACGTCCCCTTTAAATTGCAATGAATCCCTGAATTCTGGGATACAATTCAGAAATGTCTTGAAAAGGATGAATATTCTTAACATTTATCAAAGCCTAAAATTAATAAATAATATTCATAATTAAAAATGAAATGTAGTGAAAGTACCATGTTCACAGCATTTAACAGATTAAAGAATGAAAAGTTTTGCTTTTACATGGAAAGTTCCTACCCAACAATGCTTTAAAAATTCACTGTACATTATTGCTGCATGACTACATAGAGTAGTATAAGAGTATCCATAAAGTCTGTAGACATAGAAAAAAGAAATTTACTCTTGTTTCTTTCTCATACAGATAGATATCTGAAATGTTGAAAATGACAGATGAATACTACCCACAAAACAATTACAGGCACTAAATTCAATCCGCATTAGCTTTAGATTTTATAAAAATTATCCAAATTGTGCATAAATGTGGCAATGGTTTATGAATGCTTTGAATGAAATGATGGTTCCAGCATTAACTGCATCCCTTTTCATGAAGCAACTTTTTATGTTACAAATGAGGTAAACACCCACATAAGAATTGGTAACAGGGAAATCCACACTGGTTTCCTCCTTCAAAGGAAAATTAAATGGTGAAAGTAATGATGTAGTATGGTTTGTAGTGAGGTCATATTTCAGTGAAGTTTATCTCCACAGAAAATGTTACTGATTGAAATTACTCACAAAGATTATTGCACAGTTGATGCCACAGCTATCCAGAATTGGCAAAGTTAAGTTCTAGTGATGTTAACAGAATGGAGTGCTACCCCACTATACTGGCCTTTGGATAATCTGTCTGTAGATCTAGTGGCCTTGGGTAGGAAAGAATGTAGACTGATAACAGGTGTGGGATTGTCAATGTTCTAAAAGACAACTATGTAAAACTGTAACAATTGTATATATTAAATTGTATAAATTGAATGTACAGAATAGCTGCGATGGTATGTGGAATGTCAAAAGTTGGCTGGCCCTCAAAAGGGCAGTTTGCTTCACTGCGAGTGCGCTGGCAGAATTTGCTCCTTCATAGTAGGCCAAGTCTTATGGCCGTTCAGCTGGCCTGTCTGGCCAGTGATGTAGTGCTGCATGCACCAGTAGAAACAGCTGCCTACGGTGTGGTTGCTGGAGTTTCGGAAGCTGCGTTAGTTGCCTGGTCGCAGAGCATGGTCACTGGAGACTTGCGGCAACTACATCAGTTGCCTGGTCGCAGAGCATGGTCGCTGGAGATTTGCGGCAACCACGTCAGTTGCCTGGTCGCAGTGAAGAGCTGATGACTCTGACTAATCGCTCTGAACTGAATGTGATCACTGAAGATTGCAAACTGTGGGCTCTGCCTTTTATACCATGCTTGATGGGTGGAGCGAAACTTGCAGTTGTGATTGTGATTGGCTAGCGCGCGCTATGATGTAAAGGTGGGCTGGACAGCGAGTGCTGTATAAATACGAATGTTGGCAGCAATGTGATTGGTTAATGCATGTGATGATCCACAGGTGGGTTGGACATCGAGTGCTGTATAAATATGTGCATCGACAGCAATGTGATATTGACCTAGGAGTGAGTGTTGTCTGTTAGATCGGCGAAACAGCGTGTAAGTATGTGGGATGTTCCCACACAGGACTATTTACTGGCCTCTGCACATAGCAACAGCACCTACCTATATGCAAGATACAATATACAGACAGGAGGAGGAATCCTCCTACTACATACATTGTCCATGCCCAACTTTGGTTGGGCATAGAATGGAAACCTTCAGCTCTGCAGGATTAGAGCCAAAAGATATTACAAGGATATGAATCAAACAGGTTCTGACTCTAGCTCTGAAGGCAAGGCTCTTTGACTTGTCCCAGATAATCGGGTGCATAATGGACCCAGTAGTTGTCTGAATGTTTGAGGTGACTGAAGTCGTTCCTCCCATGTCAGTACAGAATATTGAATACACCATTATATTGTAGCGATTAATCACTGGCTATATGAGCAATTTCTTAATGGTTGGGCCTGATAATGTGATGATGTGGAGTGGGCTCCAAGGTCTCCAGAACTTACCTCCATGAATTTATTTTTTCTGGGATTACAGTAAATCTCAAGTTTATGGAGTGAATATTAAAAACACAGATCATCATATTGAACCCAGGTGAAAAGCATGCTGTGTTTCATAACAATGTTGCTATGTTGTNCTATCTCAAATTTATGGAGTGAATATTAAAAACACAGATCATCATATTGAACCAGGTGAAAAGCATGCTGTGTTTCATAACAATGTTGCTATGTTGTTATATATTTACATTAATTTCAGGCACATTACATTGATAATATGTTCTGTATATTGGGAACAACACATCAAAAAATTATAATCCATTTCCCACTATCTCAAGACTCTATGGATGCCCTGTATAATTATGTATATGTGAGGTATGAGTAATAGTAATGTATTGCCTGTAACTAATACGTATCAGAAATGATACCTGAAAGTTTTGTGTTATACTTACAAGATATTCATTTATAAATTAAGCTTGTGTCATATCACATAATGTAGTAACGAGCTGCAATTCTCACCTTTACATGCTAAAGTGAAAGGCTCTTTTGTGAGATCAGGACAGTCAACAATCTCGACGAAAACTGTTTCAAAATTAGATGTTAAACCACTACCCAACACTGCAACAAAGAAAACCTACATATCAAAATGCAGGACATTAATGTGGTAGATCTTTCTCAGCTGCATAATCTATGCTTCTGTCTTAACCTGCACTTCATATAACCATACTTAGCTGGGAGTTCAAAGTTATTTGGAGCTAGGGGGGAGTGATCATTAATCTTCTTCATTTGGAAATATGGGATTTTAAATTCCCCAGTATTACATACTTAGTGGTTGGATTTTAATTTGAGGGAAATGGTATTAATAGTGAAAAGATGCAACACTAGATCAATTAGGCTGCATGAATATGCTGTTTAAGTAGTGCAATGCATTGCGAATAAAGGTTAAAAGATATACCTAATTCTCTCTCTTTTCTCTATGGCTCTACAGCCCTTTGTAGCTTAGCTGTTTTTTTTTTCAGTTCCTTAATCCTAAACACATGTGGTAGGACTCCTTGGATGGGGATCAGCCCATCACAAGGCTGGTACGAACACACAGAACAACACAAACACAGGCCAAACACACATGGACATTCATGCCTCATGCGGGATTTTAATCTATGACCCCAGTGTTTGTGTGGGCAAAGATGGTTAATGCCTTAGACTGCACAGCCACTGTGATTGGCATAGCTTGCCCTAGAAATTACAATTCATAGTTTAAAATGTATAAAGTTTTTCCACTTTTCATAACTAGACTGGATTAGATTTAAGGGATGGACAGTAAATAACAATGAATATTTACTAGTCCCAGTTTGAATAAAAATCCATTCAAATAGTAGTCTCCTGTAAGTACTTCTGTCAAATGTCTCAGCTGGTTCCTACTGAGCTCTAATAGCGCCCCAGTTCTTTAGGCAGAGAATTCCCAAAGGCAACACTTCACATGATTTTTGCCAGGTATGGAATTTCATTATTCTTGGTGGTCTCCCTTCATCCAGTCCAATTGGCCCACTTGGCAACTCCACCCAGGATGCCACATGATGGTTTAGGTTGTGTTACTGGATGTCCGGATCCAGCCCTTGCTATCTAACCAGCGATCTCATTCCCTTAAATTCTCCTGTGTTGTGGCACCCACATCAGCTGGATATACTATGTTCATTTTCATTAGGGATTAATGGCAATCCCGGGCCAATTTAGAATCGACTTTTCTATAACACCAACAAGCAGAATCCCTCTTGAGCAGTTAATAATCACAGTTAGTGAAGAAATGTCTTGCCCTCTATCCTCAGCCAGACAATTTTCTTTAAATCTATATAATACTGTCATCCCAACCATGTCTAGGTCTTCATAGTGATCTCTTCCCTCTAGTTTTAAACTGAAATTTTGTGCAAATTTCCCAGCTCTCCTGTTGTTACCTGCCCAACCCACATCATCGTCCCTGATCTCACTTACCCTAATAATATTTTGTGCACAGCATGAATTATGAAGCTCTTAAGTATATAATTTTCTCCAAGCCCCCTTACTTCCTTCCTCTTAGGCTCAAATATTTGCCTCAGCACCCCATTCTCAAACCCCCTTAATGTATGTCACACCAAATTTCATACACATACAATACAACAGGCAAATCATAGTTTTGTTATATTTTGATCATATTTTTAGATACAAGATAGAAAGACATATGATTCTGAGCTCACACTTAGGCACATTTCATATATACATGCTCATGCAATTCACTTCAATATTTAATGGTTGTTTTCTGTCTTGAAAACAATCAACTTCTCAAGATGAACTAGATTATTTAAAAATACGTTTAGATCTGCAAGTGAACTGGTAATCTATATTGTATAATTTGTAACAACTAAATTTATACATGATAATTTCTGTATGGGTCCTAAATACCTAGTTTATTTTACATTTGAAATGGAGTGGAGTTTCTATGAGATATCAAACAAATGCAAGAAGGCAACTTTGTGTTCACACACTTTAGTGAAAAGCATCTACATAATTTCTTGATTTATGACAAAGCTGTGGTTGTGTGACGATACAACACATTGCACTTTAGTCTCACAGTTCTTAAGACAACATGTGAGATGTTAGTCATTTGACATAATGTGCTAGCTATATACTTGATGCCAGAAACTGTTTCTTTTGGAAAATCTTTGTATCCCTGCTCAGAGATAAATGACTTACCTTTAACAAGTTCCTCAAGGGTAGGAACAAACAAAGATTTACTTGCAACTGGTGGATTTTCTATCACAGTAGCAGCCATATTTTTCATTATATATCTTGACAGTTCTGAAATGAACTATGTGAAATAAATAAAAAATTATTTCAAAGGAAAACACAAATATCGTTCATATGTTATCACTGGAACTAACAACTTCTAAACTAAGGTTTCTATATGCAGTATCTTCAATATTTCAGATTACACAATGTTTGTCATTCAAGTTGCAGTTCATTTTATTGCTATCTTATCATTTTTAGAGGAAAAACACTTGATCCTGACAACTCATTAAATATGTCTTAAGTAACTGGAAGTTACATAATGCTTGTTATAGATTATTTTCTTGAAAGCCTACTCAGAATTGTAACTTGGATTTAATCATAAGGTTAGTCCAGTATATTTCCAAAATTACAGAAAACAATGTCAGTTGGAAAATTAATTCCATAATGTAGCATCATGTTGTGTTTAGTTGCATAGGCTGTATTTAACTGTCATATACACACAACACACTAGTGATGTCTACTTGTAATTATCTATTAATCACAATTAAGTGGATCAGTGAATAATTACAAGTAAACAGCATCAATGATGTACTGCATATTAATGATAGTTATACACATCCTATTCAACTGGAGTCACCTGGCAGAAATATAGAACTAATGGACAAAACAGAGGGCAGAACAGAATGCCACAGTGTAGACATTACCATTCCTGAAAAATGCCGTTTTCTGGGATGTGTGTAGTCCCAGTCTACAGACACCTGCTAATACTTATTCATTGCTCACGGATTTCTTATACCCTGAAGATAAAGGCAATACGTTCCTCTGAAACATCAGTTAACAAAATACCTACACAGCGCCACATCCCAGAAGACGGCATTCTTCATAGTGACCACCGTGAAAACCTCAAATTTTACATTACCCCATTCCTGTCTCCAGATAAATAATTAGTCTAACTGTACTTTTTATAGCATTCCTGGTTTCATATCAGGATGGTACAGTAACAACAGACACCACATAGCTCACCAAACTATGAAGGATTTGGTCTTAAAATAAACACCTTTTAAAATCTTAGCTTTCTTTCTACATTGGGACCACATTATGTGCCATAAAGTGTGTGACCTAAGTAAATGGAAGCAGTTTTCTTGGATACTACATTTTTGTGGGGGGAAGAAAACTTATTTTATAATTCTGCTGAGGGAAAAGGTGGTCATCGGGGCACATCAGGCATTGTTTCACAAACAATACCATCAGCATAGGCTTATGAGATGTTCATCGATGGGTTGCCGTTTTGGGATAGCATGCTCCTCCGAAACTTCAACCTTCTGCCAGACAACACGGCGTCACGCCTCAGAACACAGTTATCTTCGCAGCTAATCATTGATTATATATTTACTGTAGTCTGGTGTAGCTAAAGATACATTCTCCGGTGCCGCTAGCTTTATTATCAAAGATTAGTTTAAAATGTATCATGATTTACACGGCGAGTGACGTACTGTATTATGATTATGCCGCTAATCCATGAATATATATGTCTAGTTTGATTCTCCTGGTTTAAAATTCTGAATTGGAACACGCGCGTCAACAAAACATTCACACACTCTGGTACAGTCACTACCGGTCACTATAACACACATGGAGAGAGATCCACGTCAACTTTCAGTACAAAAAAAAACTATTCGGGAGATAGTATTTTCCCCTCCACTGCAATAGAGCGAGATGAGCTAGACAGCGCTATGAACAGATTCTCAAGAAGGCAGTGGAAGAAAGTGCAGAAATGTAATGGGGTTAAGGAATGTAGACGTTGATTATAACAAATCGTATGCGTATAATAACTTGTGACAGAGTTAATAAAATGAAGCTGTTCAAATTGATAGTTCATCATAAAAATTTTAGTGGTTGGTATCCATAGGTCCATAATATACATTATTCCATAAGTTTTTAGGTTATTGGTTGTTACTCATAACATTTGCTGTAAATTAACCGTTTCCGGACCTAAGCACATTATAATGACAGGTCATAATTACTGGGTTTTTGGACTTCGCCCACCGTTCGGTACTCGAAGAAACACCAGAGAACACAACATTTCGGGAACTGGATTTGTTTCCGTCGTCAGGTGAAAGGGGAGACAGGGGAGCTGAATCAGCTCTTTCTGACAGACCCAGCAGAGTTGATGCCTCCCCGCTCGCCTGAAGACAGAAACATCCAGTTCCTGAAACGTGTTTTGTAGTGCTTTTTAAAATAACAGGTGACGGACAAAACCCAAAAGCCCAGTAATTCTCAGTGTTATACACCATAATCGAAACCACTTAGAATCTACATGATTGATCACATTTATTAGGTGGACGGTAAGGTAAAGTAAAAGCCTGAAGTTTTCTCTGGGCTTAATTAAGCACCACACCGTGAAGACACATGAGGGAATAGAGATATATCTTCATTTATACTGAACACAGCAGTTTACAGAAGCTAGTGTTTGCTTCATGATCCTGCTGCTCCCCCCCTCCCCCAAAAGAAAGAAAGATTCCCAATACCACTGGACAGTACACTGGGTGAGTTCTCAGAACCAGTTCTGTCCTCGTGGAGAAAAGAAAGAATGCCTTATCCATGTCAGAGGTCAAACCCTGGTTCCTCAGTCCAGCTTATCAGCCTAGTTGCTATACCAACTAAGCTATTATGGCTTCCATGAAATATGTGGAAGCAGTCTGTGTATGTATGTAAGGGGTGGGCCATAAAAACTGGTCCCCGCACTGCAACCCCCAGTGATATATTGTGCTTCCCCTTGGATTAGCCCTTTATTAATCCTACACTTTTAATAAAGTGTAGGACCCTGCTTATGGGTGCGTCATAAAATTAATAAATATAAAAAAAATATATATATATAATATAAATAACTTAAAATCTGTATACTGTGCATATTATCACTCTTAAGTGAAATATGTAATAATATACTGGGGTAATACTCCTGATTGTCATAAGGTTTTTCTTATGCAAAAGAAAATAATAAGAATAATGATGGGAGTGGGACCAACCCACACTTGTCATGACCTATTTAAAAAGCTTGAAATATTGCCAATTCCTGTGTATACTTCCTTTCACTTATGACATATGTTGTGAACAACTACGATAAGTTTTTGAAAAATAACTCTATATA